TACTGATTCCCGCTTCGACTCAGTGGCAGCTCTCCCGCGAGGTCCAGGGACCAACGGAACCCTAGTCCGCAGATTGGCAGTGAGTGCAGCTCTGCTTTGGCCTGCGTCAGATTTGCTTTGCTCCTCTGACACGCCTCGCACCCCTCCACCCACTCTTTTACTTGCCTGCGCATCCCTTCCCACCATCAGCCCGTCTTCAGCAGGTGCACGGTCCTCTCGTGCCCGAAGTGCCCCAGCTTGGTGTGCACTTCCTTGATCACTGCTTCACGGTCCTCGGGCGCTGGCACCAGCTTCCACCCATCCTCCGTCTTAATCTGCAGCTGCTGCTGATACCACCTGTAGTGGTGCCCTCGTGCCCTTACTCTCTCAGGCACCGTTTCATCCTCCTCGGTTTCTCCCTTCACCCATTGCATTGCCTTTGCATCCAACCAGATGTCGGTTGGCCCCTTACTCCCCTTCGCCCCCGTGTGCTCCACCTCTCTTGCCAGTAAGATCAAGGTCCGTGCCGGCTCTTGCTCTGTCTCTTCCGTCCCCAGGGTGGCCTGTTTCATTTCCAGCGGCGGTGGATTGCGGGAGAGGCCGTCAACGTGCTGCAGCGTCTTCCCCGGCCTGTGCCTGATCTTGAAATCATACTCCTGCAGCTTCACCGCCCACCGCGCGTTCCTGCCTGTCAGCCCTGGTGTAGTCATCAGCCAGGTGAGTGGCTGATGGTCAGTGACTGAGGTGAATTCTCGGCCCTGCAGGTATATCCGGAAATGCCCGACCGCCCACACTGCCGCCAGCCCTTCCCCAATGTATGAGCTATATTGTGCTTCCGCCGGGTTGCAGCTCCTGCTGGCGTAGGCCAACACCTTCTCCACTCCCTCCACCTCCTGGCATAATATTGCCCCCATCCCTTCTCTGCTCCAGTCTGTGTAGAGGATGAAGGGCTGGTCCGCTGCTGGCAGCCGCAGCACTGTCGCTGTCTTCACGGCTGTCATGAGGTCTTGCAGTGCCTGTCTCTGCTCCTCTCCCCACTCCCATGCCTTGTCCTCCCGCAGCATCCCATTTAGTACTGTCGCTCGTTTGCTGAAGTTCGGCACGAAGCGCCTGTAGTAGCTGAGGAAGCCCAAGACCGCACGCAGCCCTGACTTGTCTCTTGGTTCCCTCAGCCTGTCCAGCACTTGCACCTTCGCTTGCTGGATACCAATCTGCCCCCCTGTGACCTCATACCCAAGATACTGCACTGTCCGCTCCCCCCACCTGCACTTGTTGGGATGGCAGGTGAGCCCTGCCCCTTCTATGGCGGTCAAGGTCCTCTCCACGTCCTCCAGGTGCTGCTGTTCGGTCAAGCTGAAGATCACGACATCATCAATATAGCACGCCGCGTGTTTTATTCCCCGCAGCACCGCGTCCATGACTCTCTGAAACACCGCCGAGGCGTTCCTCAGACCGAAGGGCATGTAAAGCCACTCGTACAGCCCATCCGATCCGTGGAAAGCCGTTTTCTTCACATCCTCCTCTCTGATCTTGATTTGATTGAACCCCTGTCGCAGGTCCAGCGTCGTGAAGAACACCCCGTCAGCCAGCTTGTCAAAGAGCTCTTCCGCTATCGGCATTGGGTATCTATCTGGCACTGTAATTTTGTTGAGATCCCTGTAGTCCCCGCACATCCTCCTACTCAACACCTCGCCTGTCAAGTCCTTCCTGGCTGCCACCACGATTGGGGTAGCGTATTCTGACTCTGACCTCCTGATCAGTCCGGCTTCCAGTAACTCCTTTATCTTCTCCCTGCAGATCACTTCATCCCCTGGTGGCATCTTCCTCCTGCGGTGGAACACCGGCTCGTCACTACTCAATTTCAGCGCCATCTCTTTGATCTTGCACTTCCCCAACTCCAGCAGTGTGAAGGCGAAGCCCTTCCGATGCCTTGCCAGCAGTGCCCGCATCGCTGCCTTCCCTTCTTCGCTCATGCTCTCACCTATCTTCCACTCTGGCTCCTGTTTTTGCAGGCAGGCCCACACCCCGTGCCTCACCGTTGCCACTGTGTTTTCTCCCTCCTTCAGTCCCCAGTGCAGCACTGTCTCCTTCCACATCCGCTGCACCAACCACCTCATCATGTACCCATCCATGGCATTCCCCAATGCCCGTCTCCGTTCCTTCTCGCTCACGCCTGAGGCTGCTGTCGCGTTCTCCTTGTACCCCATGGCCAGCTCCCTCTCCAAGGCCGTGGGCTCTTCCCACTGTCCCTTCCTGTGGTCATGCACCAATCCTGGGCCGGGTTGCTTCCCATCCATCTGATAGCCTGCTGCCCCCTCATATGACACCAGGGTAGGCAGTGCCTGCCTTTCCTGTCCCACCTGGTTGCAGGGATAATGCCTGCTGTAGCCCTTCTTGGTCACTGGTGCTGGCGTTCTTCCTAGCTCCAATATGTCGCTCAGCTTCCGTCCCCCAGCTCTCTGCACCCCTTCTATTTCCTTCTGCAGGTCTTCTACTGGTACCACATTCTGCCAGTACATCCTGAGCCTGTGCGCATATGCTCCCATCCGCACCGCATCACTGCTCACTCCTTTCCCCACCTGTCTGGTCACTCTCTCCCTCACTAGTCTTATCGGTTCTCTCACGTCTCTCTCCATATCCAAGTGCTCCAGCAGGTAAGCCACTCTGCCTTGCCTCGCCTGCATCCACTCCATGACTCTGAACAGATCCTCCATCAGTTGTGTTCGTAGGTCTTGCTCACCCTTGCCCTTCCCTGCCCATGATACCCCTTGGCATTCCCACCCTGCCACCAACAGGTCCACGTGCCCCCAGCTTGCTACCTCAGCTTCCGTAATGGCCCTTACATCGTTCATTCCTCTGCTCATTGCTGCCTTGATCACCTCTCCCTGCAGCAGCTCCGAGAACTCTCTGTGCAACTCCCACGCCTGATGCTCCGCTATTTTCCTCACTTCTGGTGCTTTCTCCACGTAAATCCACTGCTTCACTGCAATTCCATTTCGCACCACTGCTGCCAGTCATGCCCCGATTCCTCCGAACAGCTCCACCAGCCGAATGGGTTGCTCCCAATTGGTCTGCTGGCTAGGTTCGTCCATGAAACGCATCCTGGGGTCCCCACCTTGTCCCTTGCCTGTTGCGGCCTTCTGTGCCCCCTGCTTCGCTGTCACCTCCTTCAGATCTGCCCTGTAGGCCCTTTTTGGCTCGACCCTGACAAACTGCACCGGCAGCTGCCCCAGTGGCTCACCCTTCCTCCACCACCTGGTTCTGAACTCCACTGTCTCCTTCCAGAAGCAGATGGTCATGCCCAATGCAAAGATCATCTCTGTGCCCACCAGGACGTCAAAATCTTCTGACTCTGAGATCCCGCACCTGATTCTAACCGGCGTCTCATGCTTCTCCCCCTTCAGCACCGTCAGTTCTATTGGAGTCCTCGTACAAGGCATCCACTTCGACTCTCCCCCCTCTGCTGTCATCACTAGCATCCCCTTCACCACATGCCTGTCAGGTGCCCACAGTCCCAGCTTCTCGGCCATCCCCTTTCCGAGTATCACGCTCTGCGCTCCAGTGTCTATAATAACCGTCTTAGCCTTCTCCCCTTCCACTGACAGCGCACCACCTTGGATCAGCAGCACGGAAGTCTGACAAGCCAATCTCTCCTGGGGGTGCCGTGCTGTTGTGCATCTCTCCTCCTTCTCCTCCGGCTTCTGTCCTCTCTCCCGCTCCTTTCTCCGCTGCTCCTTCCGTGCATCCTTTCCTCCGCTGCGCAACCCCATTTCCTCTCTTCCTCGCCATGCCATGTATGCTGGTTGCTCCTCATGCTCCATCTCATTCTCTCCTCTTCCCGCCCAGACCATGAACGCGGCTTCCTCATCCTGCTCCACATCTTCTTCCTCCTCTTCCTTGGCGTACATCCCCGTCTCAGCTTCCCGTCGTGGTCCCATTGCCTGCAGCTGGGCCTGCAGCCTGCTGATTTGCTTCTCCAGCTCTTCTGGTGACTTCTTCGCTGCCCCCTCTCGCTGATAACACTCCTTTGCTGCATGCCCTCCTTTCCCACAGACTTCACACTTCGGTGCCGTTGGACATTCCCGCCGCCGATGCCCTGGCTTGCCACAGGAGTCACAGTTCTTGCAGTCTCGGCGCAAGTGTCCTGGCTACCCGCATCTGTGACATGTTCGTGTGTCAGGCCTAATCTCCCTTCTTCCCGCTGCCCTGTCCTTCTCCTCCGGTATCATGGCCGCAGCCCATGTAGGCCCCCTGCCGCGCTCCGCCTGTTTGGGCCTGTATGCTTCATATTTCCTCTGCGCCAGCTCCATCTTCTCTGCCAGTTCAAACACCTCTTCAAGCGTTGTGTCGGCCCCCATCTCATACACCTTCATTCGCAGTCCGCTTCCCAAAGTGCCCTCCAGCCCATCCAGGAATTTACTCACGAGCAGGGCCATGTCTGCGCAAGTCACATTCTCTGCCAGGTTGACCAGCCGGTTAAAGTAGGTGAGTAGTGACTTGCCCCGCCCCTTCCTGAAATCTTGGAATTCCCTGACCTTCTCTGCGGTGTGACCTGGAAACTGCCGTTTCAGCCGCCTCAGGAATGCTTCAGTAGGGTCTTCCCCGTACCTTCCTGCCCTTTCCAGTAGCTCATCCATCTTCATCCTGTACAATGTCTCCGCCTCCCCTTCCAATGTGTTTGGCAGACTCAGGAAAAAGTCCACCGAGTCCATGCCGCTCCTTTCGCATCTGTACCGCACGTTGCCCACCTGCATCAGGAAGTTCTTCAGCGTGGGGCCCGTGCGCTGATCTCCTGAGAAGCGTGCTGGCACTTCCACTCTCGTGGCCATCACCGTGCTTCCCTTGCCTTCTCCCCACGCCTCGCTCGGCCCTCCTGCTGATCTCCCTTACGCTCCTCTCTCTCTCGCCCGAAGTATCCCTTCCCTCGCCTCTCTAGCCCGTTCTAGGCTGTGCATCAGCCCGCTGCCTTCCTCTCTGCTGTTGCGTTGATCCCGTCCTCCCTCACTGGTACGTCTTCCGTCATGCTGCCAGTACCGATCGGGTGAGTGATACCCTCCGCCGCGCCCCTCATCCCTACTCTGTTGCCGAAGCTGCGAGCCGTATCCGCCTCCCCGGCTTTCTTCATGTTGCCTGTGCCAGTCGGGCGAGCGCGTCTCGCTTCCCCACCTCTCTCCATGATACCGTTGCAGATCAGGCGAGCGGTAGTCGCCTCCGCGTCTCTCATCACGAGGGTAACGAGGACCTGGAGAGCGCAGCTCCCCCCCGCTTCTCCAGTTGTGATACCTCCGCGGATCTGGTGAGCGCACGCTTCCCCCGCGTCCACTGTCCTGGTGTCGCAGTAGCTCTGGCGAGCGGTAGCCGCCTCTGCGCAATTCTTCCTGCAGCTGCTGCCGTCCTGGCGAGCGGTAGCCGCTTCCGTGCCTCCCATCCTCGTGCGGGAGACGCGGGTCTGGCGAGCGCGTGCCGCCACCGCGTTCCCCGTCACGATTCTGCCGCCGATCTGGCGAGCGCGTACCGCCGCCACGCCCCCCTTCCCGATACATCCGTGGATCCGGCGAGCGCGTGCCTCCGTCGCGTCCCCCATCACGATTCAGCCGAGGCTCTGGCGAGCGCGCACCGCCGCCGCGTCCTCCGTCCCGATTCAGGCGCGGATCAGGCGAACGCGCGCCGTCGCCACGTCCCTCGTCACGCTGCTGACGCGGATCTGGAGAGCGCGCGCCGCCGCCACGCCCCCCTTCCCGATACATCCGTGGATCTGGCGAGCGCGTGCCTCCGTCGCGTCCCCCATCACGATTCAGCCGAGGCTCTGGCGAGCGCGCACCGCCGCCGCGTCCTCCATCGCGATTCAGGCGCGGATCAGGCGAACGCGCGCCGTCGCCACGTCCCTCGTCACGCTGCTGACGGGGATCTGGAGAGCGCGCGCCACTGCCACGCCCCCCGCCGTCACCTTTCTCTCCGTCGCGCGGCAGGTCTCGGGTATACCGCCCTTTTCTTCCGCCTCCGCCGTGCTCGGCTCCGCCGCCACGCCCGCCTGCGCGGGATCGTCGTCATCAACTCCAGCGGGCATCTCGCGCTGCTCGCCTGCGCCTTCCTCCTGGGGTTCGTCATCGCCCTTGGTCTCGCCTTCACGATTCGTCTCCCGCACTCGATTCGCCGAGTCGGCCTCGTCTTCTCCATCCACATCAAGATCGCCTTAGCGACCCGAGAAGAGCCCCTCCAGACCTCGCCCGCGACTTCTCTCTTCGCGACGGCGATAGCCTTCCTCCGGCGAGCGGTATGCTCCCGTGTCCTGGCGGTACCCACGACCGCCATCCGCTCCGTGACGCCCGTCCGTCCGCCACGGGTCACTCCCCGTCGTGACGGATCCAGATCCGCCTCTTCCTTCTCGGGCGGAACCTCCCTCCTGGCGATCTGGCGCGAGAGGGACCTGATCCGCGCGAAAGGTCGGCCTCCGCGGCGATCGCTCAGGCCGCCGCGGCGACCTCTCCAGCGAGCGCCCGCGCTCACGTGAGCGTTCGCGCCGCGAGCGATCCGCCTCACGGCGACCATAATTCCTGCCGTAATGCATCTCGTACACATCCATGCTTGTACGCGCACCTTTCTGGTTGTTATGAAAGTGACAGAACTCTCACCTCTAAGGTCCTCCCTGAGTGGTGTGCCACCTGCCTGCTCTGGTAAGGTGACAATAGTCCACTATACGAAAGGATAACAACCAGAAAGCATCAGAGGTGTGTGTGAGAGTGAACTTACCTGACCCTGGCTCGAACCGTGCATTTCTCAATGTGCGGCTCGAGCCTGGGTTGGTTCGTTCTCATTGGTTGCAAGGTTTTCACCCAAGGTGCTCTCCTACCAACTTCGCGTCAATTTCCCAGCTCCCACCTACCTATCCTCGAATTTGCAAACACAACATAGCTACACCTCCACTACACCACCATGATTCTGGCACCTTATATGCACAACCGTGCATATTCGGTGACATCAGTTTCACCCCATCAGTTTCACACCCCATCAGTTTCACCCCATCAGTTCCCACCCCATCAGTTTCGCCCCATCAGTTTCACCCCATCAGTTTCACACCCCATCAGTTTCACCCCATCAGTTTCACACCCCATCAGTTTCACCCCACCCATCAGTTTCACCCCATCAGTTTCCCCCATCAGTTTCACCCATCAGTTTCACCCCATCAGTTTCAGCCCATCAGTTTCATCCCATCAGTTTTACCCCATCAGTTTCACCCCATCAGTTTTACCCTATGAGTTTCACCCCATCAGATTCGCCCCATCAGTTTCGCCCCATCAGTTTCACCGCATCAGTTTCACCCCATCAGTTTCACCCCATCAGTTTCACCCCATCAGTTTTACCCTATCAGTTTCACCCCATCAGATTCGCCCCATCAGTTTCGCCCCATCAGTTTCCACCCCATCAGTTTCACCCCATCAGTTTCACCCCATCAGTTTCACCCCATCAGTTTCATCCCATCAGTTTCCCCCCAACAGTTTCCCCCCATCAATTCCCACCCCAGCCGTCACCTACCACGCCAGAGACCAGTTTCTCCTGCCCAACTACCCCACCCAACCTTCACACCCTCATTAAGCTGCTTCGCCTGCCCACCCATGCCAGCAGCCACTTGACCCAACCGCCACCTACCCCAGCTGTCACCCACCCCAGCTGTCGCCCACCCCAGCTGTCACCCACCCCAGCAGCCACCCACCCCAGCCGGCACCTACCGCAGCAGAGACCAGTTTCTGCAGACCCTTCACATCCTCGTTGAGCTGCTTTGCCTGCCCACACACAACGGCTGGGGAAACCACTGCAGCAGCGGGCACTGCTCCTTGTGTTGAAACACCTAGCCCGCTGCCATCTTCTGCTACCCCAGCACCGCCCAACTCCCCACCTGCCTCGTTACTGACTGCTTCACTACAAGCACCACCACTCTCCACCGTCCCCTCTGGCCCCCCTGCTCCTGAGGTGGGCTTCTCCCCGTAGATCCCTGAGGCCTGTGTGACTGCCACGTGGCAGGCTTGTAGGATTGAGGAGAGCAGAGCGAGCGGGTCGGGAGGAGATGTGCTCATGATGCTGCTGCTGCTGGTGGCGGTGGTGGTGGTGAGGGCAGAGAGGGCGAGGGAGGATGGGGCAGGGATTACAGCTGACGATAGGTAGACCTGTGGCAGGGGGGAGGTGAGGAGAGAAGGAGACGGAGTGGGGAGATGAGGCATGCGCTACCCATGCCCACAACAACCTGCTCCCCACAAACCACAGCACATTCTATCCCCTCATTGAATCACCCCTTCCCAGCCATTTTTGCACCACACTGTAACCACGCGAACCATATCCCCACCCCACCCCTCCTTCCTCTTTTCTCCCCTGCTCACCCCCTTCCCCCACTCCCCAACCCCGCTTCTCCCTTACCTGCCCAGCAGCGGCGCTCAGAGCCAGTTGCACCTCCCCCAGCACCACCACTTTCTCTGCCACCATCTCCCGAACCAAGCCCTGCAGGCTCGGCGCTGCCAGGCCTAGCAGCAGCCCCTCTGCTGACGCAACGCTTGGCAAAAACGACCTCAGGCGGTGTAGATGGACAAAGAAGAAGGGTTTAAGGTTGAGGGTTTTCAAGTCGAGGTTTAAGGTTTTGGAACCGAATGTGCTTAGATCTGAGATGAGATTTTGCAGGGGTTTAGGGGGGTGAGGAAGGGCGGAGAGGGGGAGGAGGGGGACGGTTTGTAAGGAGAGCCAGAGGGAAGAGAGGAAGCGATAGAGAGGCGCTAAGAGAGAGACGAGGTGGGTTATAAGAGGGGAGATTGGCTGCTTGACACGTGTCAGAACGCGATTTGCAGAAAGTGAGTGGGAGGGTTGGGGAGAGCTGGGCTGGACGAGGTTAGAGGAAGGAGAGGCGGGAGGAGGACGGGAGGAGGAGGAAGGGGGAAGGGTGGGAGACGGGAGGAGAGGGAGGAGGTAGCGGTTGGCGGCGGAGAGAGCGAGTGAGAGAGAGAGCGAGAGGGACGTGTGGAGGAAGGCGAGCGGGCCGCGTCGGAAGAGCACGATCCAGAGCTGCTGCGAGGGCGACGCGAGGGCGAGGCGGCGCCAGAAGGAGAGGTGCTTGTCGACGGAGCGCATCATGAGAACTAGCCGTTGACCCGCCTGGTTCACCGCCGCCACTGCCGCATCCACTGCTGCCTCGCTCCCCTCTTGAGACAAATCGCTCCCCTCTTGAAGAGCCTCGCACCCTTCGCCTGTGTTGTCCCCCTCTGCTCCCCCTGCTCCCTCTGTTCCCTCTGTTCCCGCTGCCCTCTCTGTCCTTCCTGTCGCTCCTGCCGCTACCTCTGCTCCCACTCCCCCTCCCGCTCCTCCCTCTCCGCCATTGTGTGATAGCTCCTCCCTTTCATGCTGCTGCTGCTGCTCCTCCTCCTCTTCTTGCTTCTGGAGCGCAATTGCGTACGCATTTCGCCGCGCCTGCCACGTCCGCAGTCTCTGCTGCTGCTGCCACGTCAGCAGCTGCTGGTGAGCAGCCGGCGATATAACCGGGATAGTGACTTTTCGCGCTCCGCCGGACGGATTCAATAGCACGCGGAGCCCCAGCGCGACAGGCGCAAACGCGGCAGCACCGGCGGCTAGCGACCAGACACGTGGATCCGAGAAGATATCCCCGATATAGTCACTGTGAAAATAGCTACTCGATACAGGCGTCGAACTATTGGCACTGAATTCGCTCGATCCAGGCGCAGAGGAAGGCATTGCGACGATACGCGTTCCCCGCCACGAGTTTTATTCAACGAAAGACTAGGGTGACTTCATACCCGTCAAAGACGCGTTCGATTCAACGAAAGCTGATGGAGTCAACCCGTCGACCATGACTCCCATAAGACACTAGCAGCAGGACTAGACAACAGCAGATGGTTGTTATGCCCTCGTGACGCAAAGTGATCAGAGGGAGAATCTGCGAGGTCCGGATTTAGAAAGTCTCGATGTTAGCATGGGCGGTGGTGCTACATACTGCACAAGAGCAACGATTATCATTAATCGTTTACATATCATTATTAGTATTACACAATACAGAATCAATACAGATACATGCACTTGCACCTTGGAGTCCATATTCATTTATTGGCGGCACAAAATAATAATATAAAACAGCACCGTAATAGAGGTGCCAATCAGGTGACTGGTGCCGGAGCAATCGAAATGAGCTTGGACAGGCGAAGCCTAGTGCAGGGGACTCTAGCCGGAGTGAGCTGCGCAGGAGCAAGCTTCACAAACTTGCCCGCAGAAGGCTTTCGACCAGCCCGCTTTCTCCCGTTGACAGGCGGGTTAAAATTCACATCGGGCAGACACTGGACAACAGGCCACTCCCCCCCCAAAGGAAATGCATTCACGCCTTGATAGTGTGGAAGCTGGTGGTTGTAAATGGTGGAGTGCGGTGCCAAGGCATGAACGCCTTTGGCGCAGGTACTCCCTGGTACCACAGCATGGCTATCCAGGGATGGAGAAGCAGGTGCGCTGTTGTAACTGCAGGCGACCATGCCACTTGCATGAGCACTCACGAATTGCTGTGCCAGGCGCCGTGTCTTACGAATCCGAGCAGCAATCTCCGATGCTGCAAGGTGCGGCGGCAGCGCGCTCGGGCTCACAGAGGCGCCAGGGAGAGTCAAGGAGGGGATGAGCGGGTGGCTGTCCAGCGAGTGGGCCTTCACAGCTGCTGACACCGGCCCCAACACCACCAGATCGCTTGCTGCACTGTGGGAGCGTGCGAGAGGCAAGTCACCTGTGCTTGTGCTAGGAAGCATGGGCTTTGCCAGCAGCCGCCGCTGCTTGGGCTGAGAGGCTCGCCGAGGAGTCATGTCGGCCGTTCCTGCTGCTGCTGCTGCTGTTGCTGCTGCTCTCTCATCTCCACCAACCACTGCTCGTGCTGCTAGTGCTGCTGGCGATACTGCTGGAGAGAGGAATGCTGCTGAGGGCGAAGGCTGTTTGAAGACACGGGCCCTCCCCCACTGCTGTTTTTGCCTCGGCATGCCAGCTTCAAGCAGCGCCAGCTGCTGCTGCTGCTGAGCCTGAGGATTCGTCCTGTGCTGCTGCTGCTGCTGCACATCCTCCTGGCGTTCTGCTGGAGCAAAGCACGTGGACCCCTTGCCTCCGCTGCCCGCTCCCCAGGAAGAGCAGCGGGAGAGAGGAGACTCGGGGGACAGGGACTGACGAGAAAGAGACGGCCTGCGAGGAGGCAGGAAGCGGGGCGCGCAGGCTTCAGCGACTGGCGAGTGCGGTTCCTTTTGCTCCTTCTTCTGCTGACGCATCTGGTCCAGGCACAGGCGAGCCAAGTGCTGCTGGGGTAGGGACTGCTGGGTCAGGGACTGCTGGGTCAGGGACTGCTGAGATAGGTGGTTCGGTGGTGGGTTTAGCTGGGATGGGTTTTGCTGGGGCAGCTGCTGCAGGGGCAGGTGCTGCTGGGGCAGGTGCTGCTGGGGCAGGTGCTGCTGGGCCATGTATTGCTGGTGCAGATACTGCTGGTGCAAGTGCTGCTGGATGGGAAACTCCTCGGCACTGTCAGGGCCCGCGTCAGGCGTGTGGGTACCGTCGATCTGCCAGGCCATCGAGTGGTGCTGCAGGTGATACTGCAGGGACGAATCCAGAGCAGTCTGGGGGCTTGCCTCGGGAGTGTGGGCAACGCAGCGCAGGTCAAGGGACGCAAGGCTGGGAGGGCTGATGCGACTGGGCCGGGGGGAGCAGCACGGAGAGGGGCAGGAGGTGGGTACGGTAGGAGACGAGATGCCCCGCCCGCCTTCATGATGCCCTAGAGAGAGGTGATGCATATACAGGCCATGCGCGTGCGCATGCTCATCCTGCTGCTGACGATAGAGGCTCTCCCGATGCTGATACAGGCCATCGGGCGGCACCAATAGCGGCGATCGCGGCCGCTTACCATTGGTCCTCGCAAACTGCATGGGGCTCACAGCAGGATCATCAGGTGCTGGCGGCGAATACTCTGCAACCATTGGTTCTGCCGGCACTGACTCTGCCGGCGCTGGCTCCGTCGTTGCAAGCCGTTGGGGCAGCAGGGCGGCATCCAGCAGGAGCGAGGAGTGGGGAAGGTTGGAGCCTCTGGATGGTGCACTCCGCCTCAACGCTGCTGCTTCCTCTGGCAGCCTCAGCGTGCTCGCCGCATCACTGCTGCTACCTCTGCGCGCCAAGGCACCTTCGGCCACTGGTTGTTGTGCAGGCAGCAGTTGTGGCAGCAGAGCGTTCGCAAGCACGGAATCCAACAGGAGAGAGTCGTCCAGGGTGGAACCCTTGGAAGGGCTCCGACTCAAGGCTTCCAGCACGCACGCATCGCTAGTAGCAGCAGTAGTATCACTCGCAAAGGCACTTTGAAGCAAGGCCTCTGTGCATGTGGACGCAGCAAGCGTTTGTGCGGGCGTGTCAGCCGCGTGTGGGCTTGGGTTTAGAAGGCCCGGGCCGAGAAGGCAGGCCTGCAGCTCGCAGATCTTATCCTGTAGCGCGCTGATCTCCGCCTCTATGTTGTCATTGTCGTCTGCAAACGCATGCAGTGCTGCTGCTCCTATTGCTGCTGCACTCGTTGTAACTGCCATCGCTGCTGCTGAATCCGCTGCTGCTGCACATTCGGACTCTGCTGATACAGAGTGCACACCCCAGAGAAGCGAGGGAGACGTGGAAGCTGCTGAAGCGGGGTAAGGAATCAGTTCAACCTGAACGCCACTCGGAGTCTGTCCAGCCTGAAGGCCATGTGAGAGACGCAATTCGCATACTAGCGGAGGCACGTCTGTGTCATGAATATCAACGCCGGCCATCTGATTCAGAAGAACGTCCGGTCGAACAGCCATAGCTGCTGCTGTGCCCGTTCCTCCCAATAGCCTCCTCCCTCCTCTGTCTTTATTCTCCTTAGTCTTCTCAGTCCTGAATACCGTCAGCTCTGGCCCCTCGCGCTCAGCACGGTGCTGGTGAGGGAGCTGGTATTCCAAGAGAGTAAGGACCTGAATTCAAGTTGAATTCGTGCTGGAACAATGCTATGAGGAACAGAAGACACAAAAGAACTCCTGCTATGAGGAACAGAAGGGAACAGCAGGACGGGTGGAGGGCGCTCCGGCTGACCGAAAAGCCTGTGAGTGTGTGGGTGACTAGGCTGAAACTTGAAAGTTCTTGTGATGTGACGTCAATTCTTGAACGGAAAAACCTCACGAATTCACAATTTGAGGGAAGCGGACTCAGCGTGGCTGATATTCATGCATCCTGTACAAGAATTGAGACTCCCAATTCCGATAAAAAAAACTCGAGGAAACCCTCAAAGGTCGGGGAATGTCGGAAGCAGCGATTTGAGACAGCAACAGGTGAGTAAGATGGGCGAGAATGATCAGCAGATGTGAAGCTCTGTGGCAGGAGCTAGGGCACGACAAGACGCTTCTGCGTCTCCATCCATTGCTTCTGGATTGCACAAAACAATTCCAAGATGCCTCCAAAACAATCCTTTGTAGCTCTGGTACTGTGTGCAGTGCACTGTTGCGAAAGATTCTTACCATCCCGTGGACGCGGGGAACGGGAAGCAGAAGGATCGGATGCTTTGCCGGAGCATCAACGGCGATCAGCCGCTTCAATGTAGACTTCCTCTCGCCAGACTGGACCATTTCGCTGAATTCTCTGTGACGCTGTCCACACAGCAAATGGCGGCTTGATGCCTTTTTGCACCCTCAACCATGCGTTACCGCGGCTTGATCAATCCTGACCTAATTGCAACATTCGAACCTCGCCAGGTTTTCTGCCCCTCCTCTCGAGGCTCGATGCGTCCAAGCCTTGGGTCAAAGACTCAAAGGTGATCTCACCGATGATATCACACTTTACCTCAAGTGCGTCAGAATGGATGAACGGCGAGGATGGACGGAAAGGAATCATCTGAAATCAAGTTGCCTGCTGGTGGGAGGACCCTGAGAAGGTCAAACAACAATGCCGTCCAGGCTGGAAAGGACAGGTGGACGAGAGACGAAGGCGTGGATCCCCGATAAAGCCAGGGTGACAGCCTGACAGGGGAATGCGGTACGTAGGATCTGCCACGAGGCGCGCTGTGATTGGAAAAAACGCTGCTTGATTCTCTGAACTAGACTAAGTTGATGCTGTGATGCCACCATATTCGATGCACCAGCGGCAAGATTCCTCTGAATTCGCCTTGACCTCATAAGAGCCGATCGGCTACAACGCAATGCAGAAGGGCTGTTGAGAGGATGGAAGTCACAAAGGTGGTTCATCCATGTAAAGAACTACTTTGAACCTAAACTATAACTAAATTTGCACCCCACCATTGATTGCAAATTAAAAAATGCGTCCCGCTATACAATGAAAATGAATAAACTCGAGTATTTTGATATGCATTTAAATCAGCCATAATTAGAGTATTTTGAACTAATGCATTATATTGTGTGATGGGATCTGTATCTGCGCATAAATATAAAAGTTTTCTCCTGATTTAATATTAACGATTTTGGAAAATACGAATATTTGCATGCGTACATTCTGAAGCATCTGGGCATAAACACCTCAATATCACGTGTGCACATATCCAGTGTTTTTAGGATGACAATGTTTTGTACTCCTTCGTTCACTGCTTTTTCATTCTCGTTTCAGGCTCCACTACATTGCGCCTCGATTTTGCCGCCAATTTTCGTCCCAGGGTGTCAGAGGTGCCGTTCCTGGCACCAAGCCCAGTAGACAATTCTCTCGGCTGCTCAACAAGCACAACTTCCTTCCCAGCCGTCACAGGTCGTCCTCTTTCCAGACTCTCAGAGCTTCCCATTGTCGCCCTAGTTTCCAGTTGTCCAGCCAGACTCTTCAGCTCCTCTTCAACTGATAGAGATTAATCCGCCTGGAGTGACGATAGCACGCGGATTTTCCTGTAGGAATGCTTCCTTCCGCCTTATCTAGGCCATTCGACTCTTCTATTACGATCCACCTTACATTCTAGGTCTCGTCGCGACTCGTCTATTCTGGTTCGAGCGTGATGCCTTGATACGGATACAGAATGCGGTTGAACGGAAGATAAGTTAGCAATCATCGTAGGATAAGCGGAATGTATTAGCGACATAGTGTGCGGTTCTAAGATGGAAGATGGACCATCGACCTGATTATGCAGAAGAAGTAAGATAGACTAGCGACCTTGATAAGCAGTTTTAGGTTGCAACGTTTATAGTGGTGCCTTTAACCTCCTGACGAAATTGCGATTTTAAGAAGTCTGGTCACTTGCTGGACCTTTCCTTCGGCGTCGTGCTAACACGCTGCTCACTACCGGCTGTGCACGCGATCTTTCATCCAGCGGTTTCGTTTCGCCGATGTTGCCTCTCGTCGGCGTTCTCTGGCGTTTGCAGAGCTTGTCTGTCCTTCGCTAGATGTCGCTGGAGTTTGCCAGAGTTCGTTGCCGCCGCTCACCTTGTTTCTCTGCCCTTCGCCAAGTTTCGCTGCCGTTCGCCAAGTTTCGCTGCCGTTCGCCAAGTTATCACATGGCGTTCGCCAAGTTTCTCTCCCATTTGCTGAATTCTGCTGGTACTTGCCGACTTTCGGTGCCGTTCACCAAGAATCCTTGTCTTTTGCACACCTGTTGCCGTTCGGGAAGTATCTGCCTTTCACAACGCTGCTGCCGTTCGCCGAGTATTGCTGCCTTTCGCACAGCTGCTTCCGTTCACCACGTATCGCTGCCGTTCGCGAGTGTCGCTGCCGTTCGTAGCAGCGGGTGTCAGCTGCGGGTTGATGCTGAGTGGTATTGGTTGGAGCGGTGGTGTTTGACTGCGCGCGGAATCGAAGCGCGCTGACGACAGCAGAGCGGATTCGAAGCCAGCCGACGACAGCAGAGCAGATTCGATCTACATTGACGGCAATTGGGCGATTTCGAACGGCAGCGATGCGTCATGCGAAGGTGCGTGTGCGCGCAGGGCAAGAGGGGTGGGCGCGTAGGACGTAGGTGTCCGCCGCTTAGGTGTCTTGAGTCGTCAGCTTATCCTGCTTCCCGTCGTCCTTGTCTCCGTGCTGTTCTGACGCAACTTTGCGCTCTCCTGGTGTCTCTGCTCGTGTGCTCTGTGTGTTTGTGTGGAGGTAGGGAGGGGGGATGGAGCACGGCAGGCAGTCGCAGCGCCAGCAGGAGCATGAGCAGGCAAATCAGCGGCGCGGGAGACAGACATCATTGCGGAGCGTAAGGGTGCGTACGTACGGGGAGCAAGTGGGGGGGCGCAAAAACAGTCTAGGTCGCCGCGCGGCAAGTCTTAGAATCAATTCTAGTTTTTCTTCGAGTCCGTTTCCTTTTCGGATTTTGATACACTCTCTTGTGTGCGTGTTCCTGTGCTGTGTTGGCTGCTGTGGTTGGAGGCCTCCTTGACTGAGAGGCCCACGGACGAGTCATCGGTCCTGCCAAGGCGAGGGGCTCTGCCAGTAACCATGCGACTGCTGACGCGTCTCGAAATCTGCTTATTTATGGCAGCACGGTGAGTAAATTGGCCGAGTCTATTAGGGGGGAACATAGCAGTCTAGGTCGCCGAGCGGCATGTCTTCTAATTTTTATTTTTTCCGAGTCCGTCTCCACTTCTGCTTCTCACGCACACTCTCCTCTGTGTTCTCTGCTGTGTTCTCTGCTGCGCCTTCGTGATTGAGAGGCATTGACATGCCCACAGGCTTGCCTATGTGCGGTGCGTCCCAGGGAGGTGCTCTGCGGAGTAGGGATCCGCCTTCCGAGTGTCACTACTTTTCGCACAACTGCTGCCGTTGGTGGATTATCGCTGACTTCCGCACAGCTCGGGCCGTTCGCCGACGAGTTTCTTTACCGTTCATTACGTTTCACTGGTTTCGCTGCCGTTCGCGAGGTGCGAGAAATGACTGCCAAGGATACAGCACGGCGAAACGCAGAGCGCCACGTGCAAGGAATCGACGGTGGCTAGAGCAGAGGGGTGAGCGGTCGACCTGAGTGCAGCAGCGTATGAGAGAGCGGCGACGTGGTTTCGGCCCGCTGGGTGGTATCGGCAGCAGCAGTGCAGTTGTGTTTGACTGCAGGCGGATTCGAAGCACGCTGACGTCAGCAGAGCTGATCCGAAGCACGCTGACGTCAGCAGAGCGGATCCGAAGCACGCTGACGTCAGCAGAGCGGATCCGAAGCACGCTGACGTCAGCAGAGCAGATTCGAAGCACGCTGACGTCAGCAGAGCGGATTCGAAGCACGCTGACGACGCCAGAGTGGCAAGCGAAGGTGCGTGTGCGCGCAGGGCAAGAGCGGTGGGCGCGTAGGACGTAGGAGTCCGCCGCGTAGGTGTCTTGAGTCGTCGTCAGACGCTCCTGCTTCCCGTCGTCCTTGTTTCCGTGCTGCTCTGACGCATCTTTGCACTCTCCTGCCGTCTCTGCTCGTGTGCGCTCTGTGTGTGTGGAGGGAGGGAGGAGGGATGGAGCACAGGAGGTGCAGTCGCAGCACCTTATCGGAGCATAAGCAGCAGGAGCGGGCGAATCAGCAGCGCAAGGGACCGACATCATAACGGCATGCAAAGGTGCGTACGTATGGAGGACAAGCGGGGGGACGCCAAAAAACAGTCTTAGTCACCGCGCGGCAAGTCGTCAAATCAAATTTGGTTTTCTTCGAGTCGTTTACTTTTCATTCTTTTGACACTTTTTTGTGTGCTTGTTCCTGTGCTGTGTTCGCTGCTGTGGTTGGAGGGGCTCCGTGACTGAGATGCCCACGGACGCTTCCGGCCAAAGGCGTGGCATCCCTGCCAAGGCGTGGCATCCCTGCCAAGGCGTGGCATCCCTGCCAAGGCGTGGCATCCCTGCCAAGGCGTGGCGGAGAGGGGCTCTGCCAGTAACCATCCGACTCCTGACACGTCTCGGAATCTGCCTCACCGTGGCAGCAGGGTGAGTAAATTTGCCGACTCTATCAGGAGGGAGCATAGCAGTCTAGGTCGCCGTGCGGCATGTCTCAGACCTAAATTCGCTTTTTTTTTTTTCCGAGTCTGTCTCCACTGCTGCCTCTCACGCACACTCTCTATGCTCGTTTCTGTGCTGTGTTCTCTGCTGCACCTTCGTGGTTGAGAGGCATTGGCATGCTCGCAGGCTTACCCATGGGCGGTGCGTCTTCAGGAGGCGCTGTGCGAGTAGGGTAGGGACCCGCTGTCGGAGAACCACCTCATCCTTGCAACCTGCTCTTCCTCTTGTCACTCCCTTGCCTTCCTTCTCCTTACGTGGTTGATCAGCCTCAGCCACCACCGTAGGTCCTCCCATAGTGGAGTGCCACCGGATGCTAGATCTGAGGTAACAGCTTGCCACTGATATGAGAGAATAACAGGAGAAAAGCAACGAGAGGGTGTTTGGTACTGAATTTACCTGAACCTGGCTCAGTCGCACACTTCTCGATGTGCGCCTCGAGCCAGGCCCAGTTGCTTCAGATTGGCTCGTTAGATTCCCACCCCTCGATGTTTCCTCTAACCCTTCCCAACAACTTCGCCTCAACCCCCCATACTCCCCAGCAACTCACCCACAAATTGTAATCATACAAAGACTACACCTGAACCTACACTTGCATCTACACCCGCGCACCAACTGTTATCGCATATGCACGAAGTGCATATTCGGTGACATCGCCTTCTGAGCCGTCTCAGGTTCTGGTCTGGCTCACCATGGCAGTGCAGTGAGTGACTGGGCTGGTCTATTGGGGGGACAGTAGTGTCTAGGTTGCCACGCGGCAAGTGTCTTGGAATCAGCTTCTGTTTCCTCTGTTGCATCTGACGTATTCTCGTCTATGCTTGTTTTATATGCTGTGTTGGCTGCTCTGCGTGTGGAATGGGGCAGGAGAGGAGACCAGAGGGGTCAGGCGACTGACCTCCAAGCAGCAGCAGCAGCACGGAGGGAAAGGAGCAAAACGACCAGTATAGCACAGTAAGTTGTTGGCCAGAATATTGGGGGTTAGAGCAGCGCCAGTCGCTGCGCGGCAAGTCTTAGAACCAATTTCCCTTTTTTTTCGAGTCCGTTTTCAGCGCTGCCTCTCATGCTCGTTTCTTTCCTCTCTGCACGTGTCTGTGCTGTGTGCGCTGCTGTGGTGCCAGTGCCTCCTGCACTGAGGCCTAAGGACACAGCAACAGTCGTGCCACAAGATGGTGTTTCCTGGAAAGGTGCTGTGCGAGGGAGGATGCTCACCACATGGCTCACCATGGCAGTACGGTAAGGGCGTGTAACCATTTTGCCTATTTCTGTTCCGGACGGTCCGAAATGTGGACCGTCCGGTTTAGCGAAGCGTTACCAGCGTCGCAGTGTTTTGCATGTGTGTTCGTGGAACTCCTTGCGACGTCGCCAACATTCCGAACCGTCATGACACTTTTTCACGTTTCCAAAGGTCCGAAACGTGCATTTCGGACGGTCCGAAACCCCTTCGGACGGTCCGCCAGTTCTGCGCAGGGATTGGCGTGCGAATTTCACTCTGCCAAACTGCGCAGGGATTGGCAAACGAATTCAACTTGCGACTTCTTGTGTATTTGGTTACGAGTGTCGCAGGAACTGCGCGAGACTACAGTAGTCGCGAAGTCGGAGTGCTAGCAAAAAGTGTCATGTTTCTCTCCGGACGGTGGCAAGGTTCCGAAACGTCATATCGGAGAGTCCGGTTCTCGATATTAGGACAGTCCGTTTGAAAAAATACGGACGGTCCGGAAAATCACAAAAAATCAAAATGGTTACACGCCCTAAGTCACTGGGATGGTCTATCGGGGGGGCAGTAGTGTCTAGGTCGCCACGCGGCAAGTCTTAGACGTGATTTCTGTTTCTTTCGAGCATTTTTTTCCGTTGCAGCTTCTGATGCAGTCTCCTCTTTGCTTGCGTCTATGCTGTGTTCACTGCTGTGGTGCCGGTGCCTCCTGCACTGAGGCCCAAGGACACAGCAGCATTCTTGCCACAGGGTGGTGCTGCTGTGCGAGTTAGCATCCGCACCACATGGCTCACGACATGGCTCGCCATAAGCAGTACGGTAAGTCGTCGGGCGGGTCTATTGGGGGGGATCAGAAGTGTCTAGGTTGCCGCGCGGCAAGTCTTAGAGTTGATTCTCGTTGCTTTTAAGTCTGCTTCCACTGCTGCTTCTGATGCTCGCTCCTCTCCTCTCTGCTCGTGTTTGCTGCTGTTGATCTGTTGCCTTATGCACTGACGCCCAAGGACACAGCAGCAGTCATGCCAAGGGGTGGTGCTTCTCACGAGTGCTCTGCGAGGCCCAAGGACGCAGCTGCGTTGGCTGCTGTGGTGCCGGTGTGAGCCTCCTGCACCGAGGCCCAAGGACACAGCAACAGGCATGCCAAGGGGTGGTGCTTCTCGAAGTGGTGCTGTGCAAGGGAGGATCCGCACCACATGGCTCGCCATGGCAGTATGGTACGTGGCTGGGCTGCGCTATTGAGAGAATAGGGATAACATTACCGCAACAAGGCTACGCTAGCTAGGTGACTACGCCACTGTGGGCAGCCATCGTGTGGGAGAGTAAACTTCTCACAAGACGAGAGAACAGGTTTGCTATGCTAGGCTAGGCTATTTGTGCTTGGCTGCCCAGTCGCGAGTAACTCAGCGTGCTGGGTTGAGCTCGAGCCGCCTAGGCCTTGGAGTGGCCCTCGCCAGATTGCCTGTCTCCCGAGGTTCCGGAAATTGTCCCCGAAGCGCCCTGTAACCCCCAATGCTACCAAATTCTCGCTACTCTCTTTTACCCAACTACCCCACATGCAGATTGAATAACACTCGCTACACCACTTCTACACCCAATTAGCATATGTCTCCAATATGATGCTCTTACCATTATATTTGGTGACTATGGGGAACCTGATGGGGAACATGATGGGGGAACCTGGTGGGGGAACCTGATGGGGGGTGTGCCTCTTGCACTGAGGCCCAAGAATATAGCAACAGTCATGCCAAGGGGTGGTGCTTCTCACAAAGAGGTGCAGTGCGAGTGAGTATCCTCAACACATGGCTGGGAGCATGGCTCACCTCTGGAGCACAGTAAGTTGTTGGGCGGGTCTATTGGGGGGACAGAAGAGTCTAGGTCGCCGCGCGGCAAGTCTTGGAATCGATTTTTGCTTCTTTCGAGTCCTTTTCCACTGGTGCTCCTGACGCACTCTCCTCTGCCTGTGCTCGTGTCTGTGCTGTTTGCTGCTGTGGTGCCGGTGTGTGCCACCTGCTCTGAGGCCCAAGGGGTGGTGCTTCTGATAGAGGTGACGTGGACCATATGGCTTTAATCGTGCCTCACCATGGAAGTAGGGTAAGTCGTTAAACTGGTCTGTTCGGGGGGCCAGAAGAGTCTAGGTCGCCGCGCGGCAAGTCTTAGATGTGAAGTTGATTTCTTCCCAGTCCGTTTTTGCTGCTGCTTCTGACGCACTCTCCCGTGTGCTTGCTCTTGTCGTGTGCTTGCTCTTGTCGTGTGCTTGCTCTTGTCGTGTGCTTGCTCTTGTCTTTGGTGCGCTGTCTTGAGTCCAACCTGATCGCCTGCTGGCTCGTAGGAGCTGGGGAAGGAGGCGGAGGGTGGGCGGAGGGCGGAGGGCGGAGGGAGGTTGGGGGAAGGGGCGGAGGGGGACAGCGCTGGCATGGGTGCTTAGCGACACTCAGAGGGGAGTATAGACACTCGCATGGGTGAGCGTATCCTAATCCTTGCTGCATGCACTCGGGCATGTGGATTCCCATGACCACACCCGCGCACATGCGTTCGTGCCTGCACACATGGATGCATTCATGCACACACTCACACACATGCATACCCCCTCAGGTGTCCCTCAGGTAACAGACCAGGTACCCTATCAGGTGCGACCTCAGGTAATTTCTCAGGTAAGACTTGGCCTTGAATTCTACCAATTCATTTGTTCCCTCTCTTTGTTCCTTTGGTCTCTGCATGTTTATTTCTTCGTGAGTTTACTCTGCTTGCACTAATGACCTGCGTTGCACCCCCTCCTTTTCTTCCTGTCTCTTTTGCCCCGGCTTCCCTCGTCCATCTCCCCCATCCATCAGAGTGCCGCACTGGCGTGTGGGGAGCGATGCAGTACAGCCGTCACCTGGCACAGGAAGAGCATCTGCTGGGGGTTCGTGCCCCCCAAGTAGTGAGCCCCATCCGCCCCCGCAAGATAATCTCAAGGTTTCAAGTCCAAGTGGTAAACACCATTCCCCTCCATCGCTTCTCTGGTTCTCTTCTGGCTTGACTCTCTCTGCTGCAGTCGTGACCCCCCCTACCCCTTCCTGCCCAATCCCCCCTTTGTCCGTTTCCTTGCTCAGCTTTCTTCGCGGCACCCTGCTTGCCTGCACCCTGCTTGCCTGCACCCTGCTTACTTGCACCCTGCTTTCCTGCAGCAGGACTGAAGCAGCGGTGGCAGCAGAAGCAACAACGGGCAGTGCAAGGGAGAGCATCTGGAGTTTCAGCTGCAGCAGGTGAGTTTGAGTTCCATCCCTTCCCCTTCGTTTTCCTTTGACACCCCCACCTCTTTCCACTTCCATTATCATTTTTATTGCCATCCTTCGCGTTTTTTGCCGTACCATATTTTCTTGTGAGTATGTGCCCTCTCGACGTACGTACCTTAGCTCCTCGTTTCTCCCCTTCTCCCCTTCTCCCCTCCATCGCGCAACAGGAGTGGTTGTTGCAACAGCATCAACACGTATGCAGTGCCACTGGTGGACAGGAGGGGAGGACAGGAGGATGCACGGAGGGAATGAAGGAAGAAGGGAAGGAGGAAAGCAGAGTCGCAGGAAAAGGTTGGGGGAAGCGAGAAAGGTTAGAAAAGAGGGTGAAAGGATAGCTTGGAGACGACAGGGGAAGTGCTCTTTTCCCTCGCTGCCATGTTTTGCCATGTCCTTTTCTTCTTGTTGCCCCTTGTTTCCAGATTACTCCCTCCTACCCCCAAGTGCAGTGCCCATCTCTGCAGCTCTCTGCCCCTTCCTGCTCCTCTCTGCTCTTCTGTGCTCTTCACTGCTCCTTTGATTAATGTTTCTGCTTCTTCTGACGTTCAGCTTCGTTTCTTGCTTACATCTTGTGCCCCTCGCTATCTCCCCGGCTAAGGAATCCCTTCCCCTGTGTAATCCGCCCCTGTGATATCCGTCCTCCTCACTACTGCCCCATCTTCCCTTCGTAGGTCATCTCGAGGCAACAGCATCAGCAATAACAGCAGTAGCAGTAGTAGCGAGGGATACATAGCTAGTGCAAGGCCGTGTACCGTATTCTCCCGGATAAAACACCCTAGGGTATTATGAAAACCACTGGAAAAAAATGGGGGGGGTCTCCTCAAAGGAAAATCCTATATAATACCCGGGTCTTATGATATGGTATTTTTTATAAAACATAAAAGATGTGAAACAAAATCAGGGGTCTGACTTCACTTCAAGATTGTTGATTTTCTTCTGGGGAGTGATTTTCGCGATATCCTCCCGTAAGGAATCGGACTCGATAACAGCTATAATAGGAATTTATAAGAAAAGGGGGGTGTTCTAGAGAATCACCCCAAAAAGGGGGGTATATATAGTACTAACGGGGTCGGATATAACACCCACCCCATATAAGCTACCCGGGGGTGTACAATTACGGGGGGGGGGGGGGGGGGGGGGGGGGGGGGTGTTTTATCCGGGAGAATACGGTAACACATGGAAAGGGATGCTGCGGTATGGTAAGGTAATGTAAGGTAATGCAAGGTATGATAAAGGTATGGTGAGGTATGGTAAGGTACCCAACCACACGAGGCAAAAGGATCATCCAACAAAGAGACATACGCGGCACACAACCAACGTGAGAGAGAGACCTACCAGGCACAGCCAGAATAGGGCTGTGTGACTGTGTCCCAACAGAAGCAGGAATCTTTATCAAGGTTCGTATGCATGTCCAATTTAGGAAACTTCTTCAACCAGCCAGAGAGACAAAGCCCTCCCAACCACAATGACAGGTGAGCGCGCAGACCCAACCCTACATCCGCTCTGCTATGTCCAAACCAGTGGCAGTGAACAGCAAGATGTCTCCTGGACAGCAAAATACAGCAAATAAGCCTGAATAGAAACATATACAGTCCATTATAGTTATGAATGTGTGCATGCTGTACGTATAGCGAGGGAGCCTGCATAAACATTTTCCATGTAAATGAGGAGCGTCACGGATACCGCAGATACCGCAGCCTCGTCACATCTGTTCTGTTGGGAGCTCGATTTCCATTATTCTCTCTCTGGAGCTCCTGCTCCTCCCCCAAGATCTAGCCTTGTCAGGTCTGTGAGCGCACGGTGCGATGTCCTACAGCGTTGCTGAATGCTGCTATTCTATTCTTGTACATACTGTTGAAGATACGACGTGCTGCAGATTCCGTCTACGTGCGTTGTGGCCGCCTGCACTTGAGTACAATGTAATTTCTGTCACCGCTGAAAGTACAATGTACGACATACTTTGAGTCCGGCGAAGCGCATCTCGAAGCAGCAGACATGTCACGGTGGCATAGTTGCATTAGAGGAAGCCCGTGCAACTGGCGAACCCTCGTTAGTACGCCACCTTGTCTCCCGCTCGTTAGTAGACAAACACGTGACTTACTCAACACGCCCGAATGTTTCCCTCTCGTTGGTAGGCAAGTAGGCCTCGCCCTAACACGCGTAATCCGCTGGATCTCGGCAGATGTTAACCACAGTGCGCGCGCGGTCCGCAGGAGAGGATTATGCAATCCGACATCTGATGACAGAAAGAGAGTCGTACGATTCAGCGATCGCGACAAGAGCCACGGGAGTACACGGCAAGAGCGCGAGTCCTGGGAATGGCAGCAGCAGCAGCGCCGGTGGCAGATGCAGGCGGGAGTCGAATCGACGGCGGAAGATGAGGAGAACTTGGAGCTTGGAATCGCGACCGTTATTCCTCGCGGGCTCCCGTCGCGCGGGCGTGGAGCGCAGTCGGGTCGACGGCGAGCAGTGCGGTTCGATCCCGCATCAGGCGGACTGGAGATGAATGGTGGGGAGGCATCCGGAGGTGATAACAGCGAAGGTGACAGAAGGGAAGGGCTTTCAGACGACGACACTGGCGCGGGAAGAGAAGGTGGATGGAAACAGAAAGAACGGAGAAGTTCGCCTCCTCGTTCCGCTGTACATTCCGCCAGCGCACAGGGGCGGAACGAAAAAGGGGAGGGGAGCAGAAGAGAGAAGGGCGGAGGGGGATTGGGGATGATTGGACAGAGAGGGGGGGAAGGGGCAGAGAGAGGAGGAGGGCTGTGGCAGCAGGAGGGTGCAGCAGCACAGCGCGCGATTCTAAGGCCTCGGAAGCCATCCGAGGACGAAGCAGGCGACTCAAGCATCACTTTTCAGGAAGGTGCAGAGCAGGAGAGCGACGAGGAGGAGGAGAAGGAGGTGTTCAAGATGGCACGGGTGGAGGCGGTGCGACTGCTCAGCTTCAAGTGAGAGACATCCCATTGC